TTTTTCCAATAACATCTGTGCTACTATTGCTTCAAAGTATCTTGCTTGGGTTATGGTTATAGATCATAGAATTTGTAGCTTATTGGTAATGATAATTATCTTTTTTTTTCTAATAGTATAGAACTAACTTTCTACACCATGAATACTATTCAGAGGGAATGAAACTTCTAGTTTGGCACTAGTTCACCTTCTCTGTGTTCAATAACATAATTTATTAGGTAATAGGCATAAGTAGAAAGCAATATGTTCTTACTGTTAAGTTGTGGAGAGAAATCAATAACCTTGGAAATAGGCCACAATATCTGCTGATAGGAGAGCAAACTACTATAGCCACTATGGAAATCAGAGTGAAGATGCTTCAAAAGGCTAAAAAAGGACCCAATACACCACTCTATGGTGTATACCATGAAGGATTTTATATCTTACTTAGAGATACATTCCCACCCATGTTCACTACTTGTTTACTAATAATAGTCAGAAAATGGAAACAGCCTAGATGTACATTATCTGATTAATGGATGAGTGTAGGACTTTTACACAGTGAAATATTACTCAATTATAAGAAAAAGTGTGCAGGCAGATGGATGGAACTGGAAAAAAAACATCATTCTGATTGAGATAACTGAGACCCAAAAAGACAAATACTGTAAGTTTCCACTTGTGAATGAATATTAGCTTTTACGCTTTCAATATGTGTGCTATAAAATGAATAATCACATAGGCTACATATCTAATAAAGGACTGGGAGTGGGTAGATAAGGGTAAATAAAATATAGAGATATGTCTGATGAGGGGTTGGTGAAGATCTTCTCCCAGTCAGAAGGTAGCCTTTTTGTCTTAGTGACAGTGTCCTTTGCTTTACAGAAGCTTCCCAGTTTCAGGAGGTCCCATTTATTCATTGTTTCTCTTATTGTCTGTGCTACTGGGGTTTTACCTAGGAAGTGGTCTCTTGTGCCCATGTCTTATAGACTACTTCCCACTTTCTCTTCTATCAGGTTCAACGTGATCAGATTAATATTGAGGTTTTTAATCCATTTGGACTTGAGTTTTGTGCATGGTGATAGATATGGATCTACTTTCATTCTTCTACAGGTTGACATCCAGTTATGCCAGACCCATTTGTTAAGGAAGCTTTCCTTCTTCCATTGTATGCGTTTAGCTCTCTTGTCAAAAAATATACAAAGAACTCAAGAAACTAGACACTAAAAGTCTAATTAACCCAATTAAAAAATGGGGTACCGAACTGAACAGCGAATTCTCAACAGAAGAACTTCGAATGGCCAAAAGACCCTTAAGGTCATGGTCAACCTCCTTAGCAATCAGGGAAATGCAAATCAAAACCACTTTGAGATACCATCTTACACCTGTCAGAATAGCTCAACTCAAAAAACCTCTCCTATGCTGGAGAGGATGTGGAGTGAGGGGAACACTCATCCATTGTTGGTGGGAATGCAAACTTGTCCAGCCACTGTGGAAATCAGTGTGGTGGTTTCTCAGGAAACTGGGAGTCAACCTCCCTCAGGACCCAGCAATTCAACTCTTGGGAATATACCCAAGGGATGCCCTATCATACTACAAAAGCATTTGTTCAACTATGTTTATAGCAGCACTATTTGTAATAGCCAGAACCTGGAAACAACCTAGGTGCCCCTCAATAGAAGAATGGTTAAAGAAGGTGTGGAACATTTACACATTAGTGTTTTACTCAGCAGTAAAAAACAATGACATCTTGAATTTTGCATGCAAATGGATAGAAATAGAAAATGCTTTACTGAGTAAGGTAACCCAGACCCAAAAAGAGGAATGTGGTATGTACTCACTCATAACTGGATTCTAACCATAATTAAAGGTCCTTGAGCCTATATTCATGATCCTAGAGAAGCTAAATAAGAAAGTGAACCTGAAGAAAATCATATAGTTATTCTCATGGATATTGGAAGTAGACAAGAGTGCCAGGCAAACTTGGGTGCACGGGGGGGGGGGGGCGGTGGATGTAAGGGGAGATGGGTAGAGAGAAGGGAGAAGGGAAGGATCCAGGAGAGCTTGGGGGAATGGGATGGGTGGGATGGAGGAAGGATGGCTATAGAGCAGGGAAGTAAATATCTCAAATAAGGGAGCCGTTTTAGGGTTTGTAAGAACCTTGAGTCTAGAGGGGTTCCCAGGTCCAAGGAGAGATCCCCAGATTGTTCCCTGGGCAGCAGAGGAGAGGGTGCATGAACTGGCCTCGACCCATCGCCACACTGATGAATATTTTGCCTATTACCATAGAACCTTCATCTGGCAATGGATGGAGATAGAGACAGAGTCCCACATTGGAGCACTGGACTTAGCTCCCTAGGTCCAAACGAGGAGCAGAAGGAGCGAGAACGTGAGCAAGGAAGTCAGAATCACGAGGGGTGCATCCACCCACTGAGACGGTGGGACTGATCTAATGGGAGCTCACCAAGGCCAGCTGGACTGGTAGTGATGGAGCATGTGATCAAAATGGACATACTGAACGTGGCTGGCAATGAAGGCTGACTGAGAAACCAAGGACAACGGCATTGGGATTTAATTCTACTGCATGGACTAACTTTGTGGGAGCCTGGTTTGTTTGGATGCTCACCTTTAAAGACCTGTATGGATGTGGGAGGACCTTGGACTTCCCACAAGGCAGGGAACTCTGACTGCTCTTAAGACTAGAGAGGGAGGTGGAGGTGGAAAGGGGAAGGGAAAAGGGAGGCGGGCAAGAGGTAGAAATTTTTAATAAATAAATAAAACAAAAACAAACAAACAAAAAATATAGAGATATGAAGAGATAAAGGGAAAAGTAGAATAAAGAGGAGTGGGAGAAAATGGTAAAGAAAAGATGGTGGAGAGAGGTAACTATCACTGAAATCCTTTTGAAAATCCATATGGAAACCTACTGCTGTGGAAAGTTCATACTAACACACACACATACACACACCAAACATTACTGGCTCTGAAGTTATGTTAAGTTTTTACCTGTTCTCCGGGACCTCCAACTACCTTAAAGCCCATCCAGTAAAAATAAGTCCATGCCTGCTATCATAAACCTAGCTCACTTACCCATAGCTGATGAAGTCATGAACCCAAGAAGAGATCATATTAATGTCATTTCCCCAAACCAAAATTGTGAACATCTATTGTTGCACACACAGAGAAGTGTAGTTCATTGTGCAGCAAACAAAAGACAATTACAGATGTCCAGAATTAGTCTCAGCACAGAACACAACGGACCATAGAGTGTCTGACCATGACTGATATGTCTTCAATCTATCCCTTACACTCAAGGCACAAGGGACATTGAAGAAGGGAATGATAAAAGACTATAAGAGCCAGAGGACCAGACCACCTGTTGTGAGATTGTGTCTTCAATTTAGATCAGGGAAGCTGCACCCATGAAATCTCAAAAAAAAAATGATCAACTAAGCAAGACCTGCAAAGTGACAGTGCCCACTCACGTGTCAACAGTCAACATAGACATGAAAATTCTACTGGATCCCACTCCTACATGAAGAGATTCAGATGATTTTTTTCTTTTCTTTTTTTATTTAAATAACATTTTTTCATTTATTTTACATACAGACTGCAGTTTCCTTCCCTCTACTCCCATTTTCTTTCCTCTCCCCAAATTCCCATCTATTCCTCTCCCCATCCATTCCTCCTCCATCTCCATTCAGAAACGGACACTGTTCCCATGGATTTGAACAAAGCATGGCACATCAAATTGAGGCAGGACCAAGAGTCTCCACTTGCTTCAAGGCTGGGCAAAGTAATCCAACATGGAGAAAGCCAGATAAGCACCAGGGACAGGTCTTGATCTCACTGTTAGGAGACTAATGAAGAGTGGAATCTAAGGAACTACCACACAGGTGCAGAGGGCCTAGGTTGGTGGTATGCAGGCTCCCTAAAGGTTGGCTCAGAGTTCACAAGCTTCCACAAGCACAGGTCAGTAGTTCCTTTGGGTTCCCCCATCAAGACCCCCCCCCCCAACTTGTATAAATTCCTACTCCCTTTCTTTGGAAAAACTCCAAGAGTTCAGCCTGGTACTTGTCTGTGGATCTCTGAGATGCAGATGATTAATGACCACTGAGAGGAGAAGATCAGCTTTCTCCAGAGGTAAGACTTCTGATAGGGTGATAGGTTATCCAGTCCCAAGAGGTCTTCCTAAAGACATGCACATAGGAGCAAATGTTCTAGACAAGATGCATTTATATATATGTGTGTGTGTGTGTGTGTGTGTGTGTGTGTGTGTGTGTATGTATGTGTGTGTGAAACAGTAATTAAGGAAGAGGTCTTGAGTTTGAGGTGGAGTAAGGAAAATGTAGAAAGAGTTAAAGGGGGAGGGCAAAGAAGAAATTAAGTAAGTATGGTACACATAAATGAAATTCTCAAAATGTTTAAGTTTGAAATGATAATTATTTTTTGTAAAAGATTAACATATGAGTAAAGGAAGACTGGACACCTTTCTTTACTTGGACTTCATTTAGGGAACATTGGACTGTGCAAAAACACTCAAGCAATATGCACGGTAGAGATGGGGATTCTATGGGTCTTATGGAGAGCTGTACACAGTATGGCCACATGTTTTTGACTCTCTCCTCAGCTCATCAGCATACATTCATTCTTAGGAGTGTTTTTCCTTCCCAATAAGCTATTTCTGTTCCAATTTTTAAACATGTATTTCTGGTTTAATCCTTTCTTTCCTGGACATGAGAGTGTGGAACTGTCTGTCCTCTGCATTCAGATTCATAGCTCAGCACTCCTAAACTATTTCTTTGGCATGTTCAGCTTTCTCACTGTTTCCAGGAACTCTGTGGTGAACTGAAAAGGCTAATACTTTCTCCATCTCCTCTCCTCATGGTGACTTCCAGGATAGTCTGCTTTCGTATACTGTTGTTTTTGTCTCAAAATCTATTGAAATTGTCCTCAAGTTTTCTTTTCAGATGGTTTTAAAATTATCTTTCTAACGGGACTAATAATACTCATAGGGAAATTCAGCTCTCTAGTACAGTGTTAAGAAGACTGCTCTGCCACCTACACCTCCTTGAAGCCTCCAGGAGCAGGTTTTGGTACTGGCTGTAAGTACCTGTGAAGCACGGTGCACCGACCACACAGATGTAGAAGGCAGTGTCCTCCAGCTGGGCGGCTGTGATGTTCAGGGTGCTGTGCTTAGCATCTGCATTCAGAATTGCTGAGTATCTTCCATTTGACTTTTCATTCTCTATATAAGTCATGACTGCCAGGGACACAAGACCTCTGCCTGTGTCTTGTCTGTACCACCTTAAGTTGTAAGCAGGGCTCACAGTGTAGTTGCAATGAAAGGTGCAGTTCTCTCCTTGCAGGACAACCAGGGACTTGGGACTCTGCTCCACTTGGGTCTTGCCAGCAACCCCTATTCAGAAAACAGTGTGAAATTTCAAAAATCAGTCATCCATACTTAGTTCTTGTAGGTTGTATGCTTTACTCTCTATGTGACTCTCAGGTGATCTAGGAATATGCATACTTTGCTTTCTCCACCTATCTATCCCAAGGAATTACATCTTTGCCCAAATCCTAAGAAAATGTTTTTTGATGTTCTATGGTCCCTGGCTAAAACATCCACTAACTTACACTGAAAATACAGCCATAAAGCAACCCAGCAGGCACTCAGGGGCTTTTCCATTGCTGTTTTGTAGAAATCTGCCCCCACAGCTGCTGCCTGTTTCATCAGCTCTTTCTTGTAACACACAGGAACACTCAGGAAATACGACCAGCCAATCAAAGACCTGATACACACATCAGCTTCTGATGACAGGACCAATGCAAGCACTGCCACCTTGGGGCCAGAGCTGGACTTGCTCAACCTTTTCACTGCTGGGAATGTGATACACGATATAAATTCTCACGTATGCGTAGAGACATGGTAGCGTGTCAACTAGAAACTATTTTAAGACATCAACTCAATTTTGGATCTCAATAGGACATTAGATATGATAGGTAATATTTACTTTCCACTTCTGAAAGTAGAGCCTTAATGTTTTTTCAAAGTTTGAATACAAATGACTCATGATAGGGACCAATGATAATGACGAGCCTGAACTTGGTCTGGACCTAAAACATAAATTCCTTTAGAATGTGATTTTCTTCTGTTTGATTTGCTACTGTGTCAAAATAAATTTTGTTAAAGAAAAAGGTACATTAAAATTCTGTTTAAAATTATTATTTTTTATTAATTCTTTGACAACTTTCTTGTTTAAATACAATATATTTTTGAGTGAATATTAAATATTAATATTATAGAAATGATAGAATTTTTAATCATCCATTATTAGTTCAACAATACTTTTCAAGACCCATTGTTGTCAAATATGGTCATAAATGCTAAGGATCATCAATTCCCTCTGCTTCTGAATTGCACATGAGTGGGGAAAAAGTAAAGTGTCTGACACAGGTACTGACAAGTGGTAAGTGTTGAAGGTTTGAAAATTCCTTCCTTAATGCTTCTCATTTCTCAGTGAAATTGAAGCAAGTGAAAATGTGGAAGTTGTTTAGATAAGCGAAGATTTACTGTACATCTGAGATCAATGTATAGAAATGGAGAAAACAAAAGAAGGAGAACATATCTTGCCTGAAAAATCAAAAGGAAATAAAAATAATGCACTCACACAGGACAAAACAGGATTCTAGGAGAGAATTCTAAGAGGCAAAGACACTGTGATCACTGTTTTACGACAGTGGCCTCAGTACCCAGATATTTAATCTAACACTAATCTAAATATCACTGTGAAGTAAGTGGATCTTCTGTGGTCATTTGAGGGTTTTGAGATTAAAATGATAGTTGGTCATAGTCACTTCTGCCTCTAATGTCGACACTTGGGAGGTAGAGGCAGGTGTATCTCTATGAGTTTGAGGCCAACCCAGTATAGAGAGTGAATGCCACAAAAATAGAGAGACCCCCATCTTAAAAAAAAAAAAAACAGAAAAGAAAGAACAGAAAGAAAAAAATGATGAGCTCCCCCAAAACAGAAAAAATTCTGTCTGATTTACTAAGATAGTGATCAGTTTTCTACACAATGAGTGTTCCTCCCTTCAGGTATTCATGTTGCTGTTTGTGTGAGTCCCTACTAGTCCTCCTTTCTTTAGGTATTAGACAGGGCTTTGTCATGGAAGGATTGCAGCTTTCCAACACCTTTCCTTCCAGACTCTATTAGGTCACATTACGCAGCTGTCTCTTTCTCCAGTATATTGGATTGACTGAAGATAGATAAGGTTTAAGATGTGGCTCAGTGGCAGACCACTTGCCTGACATAATAAGGCTCTGTGTTCTCTCTCCAGCACTGCAGGAAAATAACTTAAGATACAGCCCCAGAGACCATTTCATTCTTCAAATGGTTTGTGAAATTGTGTGGCATGGCGTGAGAACTTCTCTATGATTTCCACCAACAGCAAAGCATAAGGTGACATAGAACAAGGTATGAGGAACTGAGTCAAAGAGATATCAAAAGCAAGTGCTCAGCAGCCAGACCACCTGCTGCATTTTAGTTTGTGCTCTGCTCCCTCTGCAGTTTCTGCCACTGTGTCACTCAGAGCGCAGTAGTACACAGCTGAGTCAGATTCTTGAACTGAGGCTTTCTGCAAGTGGAAAGAGCTGGATCCTTTATCATAAGTAGCTTCAAAACCTCTGCTGCTTCCTTTTGCACCAGCCGTAATGACTTTCAGAAGGAACTGTAGACTTTCTCCAGGATATTGAACATACCAGAAAAGAGCAGGGGACACTACGTTTGTGAGTATATATGTGCAGTTTATTGTCAGGAACCTGCCTTCTGAGATGACCATTTGATCTTCTGTTTGAGTCACAGAGTCTCCACGGGTCCTTCCTAGAGTGCAAGGAGAGGAGAGAGAAGGAGAGTGAGTTTTGTGTCACCCTGAGAATAATTCACTTAGACAATGTACAGCTAAAGCTTTTGCCATTTAAATCACTTTACTTACCAAATATGAGGAGTATTGCAGTCACAAAGCCTGGAGAAATGTCCATCTTTAGTGTCATCTAGAAAATGGTCTTGATGTTTAGCATGAAGAATTGTTAGCTCAGAGAAAGGATGAGTTCCTTTCAGATACAAATCACACAGGAAATGAGCCTGCCTTAGGAAACTGCACCCCCTGGAGGACAGGAACTAAACTGAGAATGGGTGTTACCCTGTGCCTCCTCCCTGATCTTAATAATAAGGTATATGCCAGTCTTTAGGCCCTTGGACATGTAAAGACAGCTATCATCTTGCCTGTGCTGAATTGCCTAAAGGTGAGATGGTTCTTCAGTGTTCCTGCTTTATGAAAGAGTCTACCAGACATTCTGCTGGACACATAAGAAAATTACTGACAAACTGCCAATATAGATGGGGCTGTCTTTGAAATTTCCTGCTTCATGGAAACATCTGACAGATACTATGGGTCTGTAGCCTGAGATGGATGCCCCAACGTTACAGAAGAACTTTGGGTGACTGTCCAGGCATCGAAATGTCTCTGTCAATTCTAGAGTTTGTGAAGTTGCTTACAATGCATTTCCTGTTCACTTAGGTAATATTGTATCCATCTGGGGCCTTTGATGGATTTGAAGAATAGTTTTAGTTTTCCTTAGTTATGGTAAAAAATAAAGTAGCTATAAATATTGTAACTATAATTCTTGCTATATAACTGTTTTGTTATATGTATTTTTACTATGTTAGAGTTAAAACTTTCTTTTTATCTAGAGGGAAAAGGGGAGGTGTTGTTGGATTCCCCTCTGTATGCTGTGAATACCATTGTTTAATAAAGAAGCTACTTTGGGCCTATTGCAGCACAGAATAGGGCAAGACAGGAATTCCAAGCAAATCAAGAAGGAGAGAGTAGGTGGAGTCAAAGAGATGCCATGTAGCTGCCACTGGAGGAGACAGATGCCAAAACATTGCCAGTAGGCTATGACCTCATGGTGATACACAGATTAATAGAGATGGGTTGACTTAAGATATAAGAGCTAGCTAGAAATATGCTTAAGATATTGCAATTAATGCAGATTTCTTTGTGACCATTTTGGGATTTTGGGCAGCTGTGAAACAGAAAAACAGCCATATTCTATAACTAATCTGAGTGCTGGAATTGGAAACATGTGCTACCATGAATGGATTGATACAGGGGCATGTATTCAATCACTTGTCCACTTTGAGTTTCTCATCATGCTATCATAGAGTTCAAACGAATAAAGTTATAAAGAAAGAAGTCAAAGTATCATTATTTGCAGATGATATGATTGTATAATAAGCCACCAGAAAAATCCTACCAGGGAGTTCCTACAGTAGATAAACACCTTCAGTGATGGCTGGTTGCACAATTAAAAAAAAAAGCATCAGTAGCCCTCCTATAGAAAAATGATAAATGGACTGAATAGAACAGCCTACAGAATGGAAAAACTTTTTTTTTTTTACCAACTTCACATCTGATTGAGGGCCTATACCCATAATATATGAAGATCTCAGGAAAGTACACATCTATAAACCAGACATCCCAATTAAAAATGGATATAGTCCTAAGCAGAGAATTCTCATTAGAGGAATCTGAAATGGCTGAGAAACACTTCAAAAAATGTTCACCATTCTTAGCCATCATGGAAATGCAAGTCAAAACTAATTTGTGATTCCATCTTACCTGTTAGAATGGCTAAGGTCAAAGCCACAAATGGCAGCTCATGCTGTTGAGGATGTGAAGCAAGGAGAACACATATCAATTGCTGGTGAGAGTGCAAACTTGTAAACCCACTATGGAAATCAATATGGTGGTTACTCACAAAATTGGGAATCAATCTACTAAAGATGCAGCTATATCACTCTTGGGCATATACCCAAAAGATGCCCCATCCTACCATAAGAACATTTACTCAACTATGTTAATAGCAGCTTCATTTGTGATAGCCAGAAAATGGAAGCAATCTTTATTTCTTTTGACTGAAGAATGGATAAAGAAAATGTGATATGTTTGCACGATGCAGTGTTACTCACCTGTTAGAATAAAATGACACCATGAAATTTGTAGGCAAATGGATACAACTAGAAAGAAAGCACTCTGAGAGAGGTAACCCAGACACAGAAAGACAAACATGGAATGTACTCACTTATAAGTGAATATTAACTGTTAAGTAAAGGATAATCATCCTACAATCCACAGACACAGAGAGGCTAAGAAACAAAGAAGACTGAAGCGTGGGGGGCAGGGGTTTGCAAGGATTATAAGGATTGCAAGGATTTCCCTGGGAAGGGGAAATTGAATAGATTTTGTGGACTGACTGGGGCGCATGGGGGTGGGAGCAAAAAGGATCAGGTCGGGGAGAGAAGGACTGAGAGAGAGAGTGTTGAGAGAGACAACTGGAGTAGGTGGACATTTCAAGAACAATATGAAAACCTAGTGCAGGAGAAAATTCCTGGAACATACAAGGTGACTCTAGTGAGGACTATCCTAATACTGAAGGAGCCTGGACCAGCCTCTTCTGTAACCAGGCTAGGTGCTCACTGGCGGGAATTGAACACCAATCCAGACACACCTTCCACCCACAATCGGTCCAATCTGCAAGATTCTTTAGAGCATTATTGGTTCAGAGCTTGTGGGAGTGGCCAACCAATGACTAGTCTAACTTGAGGCCCACACCATCCTCGAGAGGGAAACCATAACCATCACAGTCTAGATGGCCAGGGCCCAGAAGCTCTATGGCTCAGTGACCTCAGGTAGAATCAAACGAGACTGACTAAAAATGAAGTCAATTAAATGATTTCTAATAATATTCTGCTATACTCGTAGGATCAGTGCCTTACCCAATCACCATCAGAGAGGCTTCCTCTAGTTCCTGATTGGAGCAAATGCACAGATCCACAGAAATTAGGTGGAGAGCTCAAGAAACCCTGCAGAAGTGGGGGGGGGAAGAAGGATTGTAGGAATGTGATTTGTTGAGGACACCAATAGAACACAACCTACAGAATGAACTGTGCAGAGTTCATAGGGAGCCACAGAGACTGAAGTGGCAACCACATAGCCTATATGGATCTGTGCTAGGTCCTCTGTATATATGCTGTGGTTGTTTAGCTTGAGGTTTTTGTTGGACTCCTTACAATGAGACTGGGGGTGTCTCTGATTATATTCCTACTCATGGGATCCTTTTATATCTACTGGCTTGTCTTATTCAGTTTTGATATGAGGGTTTATGCCTAGTCTTATTGTCTCTTCTTGTGCCACGTTCAATTGATAATCACTGGGAGGCCTGCTGTCTTCTGGAGGGAACCTGAAAAACAGCAGATCTGAGTGGCAGGGGAAGTTGCAGTACCTGTAAAGTGGGGTGTGAGGGAAGATTGTGGTCAACAAGTCCTGTGTGAGAGAATTCATTTAATAAAAATAATGATGTGCTTATACATTCTGTTTGACATAGCCTCAACAGGTACATGATTTGCAAACATTTCCTTCAACTTTGGGATTGCCTTTTCACTTTCTCAGTGTTATACTTTAAAGGATAAACATTTTAGTGCTAGGGTTATAGCTCAATAGTGCATTGCCTAGCATTCAGGCTACGTGAGTTTAATTTCTAGTCCTGAAAAAAAAGTTAAAATAATATTTGTTTTTCACTACAATGGGGACCAACTATTTTATCTTCACTTTGTAATTTTTCTTCTCTGTTTCTTATCCCTTTGTTATCATAACTAAGAAAGATTTGTTTAACTCATGCCATTACAATTTATCTCTATGCTTAAACATGTTTTACCTGGCCTGGGGAGATGGCTCAGTGGTTCAGAACACTTGCTTTTCTTGCAGAGAACCCAACCTAGAGCAACTTCGGCTCTAGGGTATTTGATGTCCTCTTCTGTCCTCTGCAGACATCTGCACTTACACACACACACACACACACACACACACACACACACACACACACACACA